CTGGGCAGTCAGGGAGGAGGAAGTTGCTGACCAGAGATGAGACAGGCTCCACATCACACTCAAGTTCCTGCTGAAAGCAATGTTCTTTGCTAAGCATTGTGGTGCATACCTGTAATCTCAGTCCTCAGGAGGCTGAGGCAGGAGGATGACCATGAGTTCCAGGACAGCCTGGGCTACGTACTACGTTCAAGATAGCAAACCACATATCAAGATCTGAAAGAAAGAAAGAAAGAAAGAAAGAAAGAGAGAGAGAAAGACGAGAGAAAGAAGAGAGAAAAGGAAAAGCAGTTCTTACTACTAGCAGGTAGAAGGAAGTAGTTGACAATTTTTATGGGTGTTTTTTATAATCTTACATAATGCAACATTTTAAAGAAAATGATAAAACAATCAGGTAAAGGTTTCTTGGTGGGGTTTTTTTTTGCTTTTTGGGTTTTTGTTTTGTTTTCTTTTATGTCTCAACATTCTATATGATTAAAAACAATTCTCTCTCATCTTTAGTTTTTATTTCTAACTTTTTGGTTAGTAATGATATTTAATAAAAATAGCTAATTAAAGTGTTTAGAAACACCTTGTTTTGAAAGACTGAACTGTATTCTTCCTTTTAAAAATTAGCTCAATTGCCAGGGATTTAGCTCAGTGGTTTCGTCACCTGCTGCGCAAGTACAAGGACCCAAGTTTGATCCCTGGTACAAATAAATAAATAAATAAATAAATAAATAAATAAAATAAAATAAAAAATCAGCTCATCCAGGGCCAGGGATGTAGCTCAGTGTCACAGTGCCCACCTGGCAAGGTCAAGGTCCAGAGTTCGATCCCTGATACAAAAAAAAAAAAATTCAGCTCATCCAATAGTTACATTAAATAAGTGCTGGTAAAAACATTGCTTTTGCCATTAAGGGACATTTCTAAGGAAACAGAAATCTTACAGGCTGGGTGAGACTGCTTAGCAAAGCTGGATGTAAACAAGCCCTGCAAATCCAAGACTCATCGTTTCAGGCTTGCATAGACATTACGGCACTTGAAAAGCAAATCATAACCCACTTTCTGCACATTTTCAGGCTCAAAATTGACCTTCCTGTTCTCCAGTCCCACATTAGTGTCCTAAAGAGTCCCAGTTTCTCATGCCTCTGTGTCTTCTTTCACACATGCATTCTCTCTTTTGTTTCATTTTGTTTTGCTTCTTGAGACAAGGTCTCACTGTGTAGTCCAGGCTGGACTTGAACTCATCATCACATAGCTCAGGCTGACCTTGAATTTGAAATCTTCCTGCCTCGGCCTCCTGGAATCATAGGTGTGCATCACCATGCCCAGCTTCTGTGTCCTCTCTTGTCCTGGCAACTCAGACACCACTTCCTCTGAGGAGCACGCTCTCCCTGCTGCCCCGCCCCAGGCAGACCCTTCATAGAGATCTCCTCGCTGGTTTCCAGTGCACCTTCCATGTACATCTTGGCTTTGTCCTAGCCCTGCATTGCCACGCAGTTATTTATTCCTGTCTCTCCCCAGGTAGACTTCATTCACTCATTCATTCTTTTAACACAGGATGGCACAAGGGGAACAAAAGACAAACATCTCTACTTGAGGCCCTAAGGCAGCTCGCCTCAGGGGAGTAAAGATGGTAGATTAACACCCACCGGTTGCAGTCCTGTGCAAAATGATGAAGATAAACGTACATGGGTCAGACAGTACTGTTCGGGGCTGGTTCGGGGCTTGTCCTGGAGGTTGAAGAGGGTCAGGAAGTTTTATGTACGAGGCCATTTATTTATTTATTTAATTAATTCTGTACTGGGGATTAAACCCAGAGCCTCCCTGCTGAGTTACATCCCTAGTCTTTTCAATTTTTTTTTTTTTTGATAGGGCCTTTCTAAGTCACAAAGTTACCCAGGCTGGGCTCAAACTTGTGGTCCTCCTGCCTCAGCCTCCCCAAATGCTGGGACCGCAGAGACATTTTATCTGAGGGTTGCAGAGCAAGTGATGATCACTTAGGCAAAGTTAGGGAAGGTGGGGAATGAAGCTCCAGCCAGAGCAAAGGGGACTGTGAGGACAGAACCTGGCTACCTTTGGGCCAGAGAAGGAAGAGTGCACAGTGACAGCCAGGACAGAGCGGGGCAGGCTCGAGAAGGCCGGCTCGCTACGCGGAACGTGTCTTCATTCCTCGTCCTGGACACTTGGGTTGAAGGAATGTGTTGATTTCGTCAGTGCTGGGGATAGATCCCAGCGTCTCACGCATGCTAGGCGCACCTCTCCCATGAACTGCGCCCAGACCCTTCGGGAAAGAACGAGTGGAGCTGTGAGGACTCAGAAGGAAGATCATTCCCGGAAGACAAGGGTCAGAGCAGAGGGAAGCGATTCCAGAGGCAGAAACCACCACCTTCTGCTAGAGACACAAGATGAAGGCTCAAACCAAGGAGGCGGCAGTGGCATAGCAGAGGGAAGAGACTGAAGGTATTTATGGCAGAGGGTGGACAGCGAAGATTCCTGGAGGACAGGCAGTGGCCTTTGCTCTGGGAGCAGTCTGCCCAGTGTCCAGAAAATCCCAAGCAGGGCCGGGGGACAAGCCTGGGGTGGGTGGAGATTTGAGAGTCATCTTCACAGAGCTCAAAGGCAAAGATGCGATTCCCAGGCAAAACGTATTCAGTGCAAAGCCAAGGGCGATGCTAGGACTTGGCAGCACTAGCCAACGGCAGGTGGGAAAAAGAGACCTTAAGCAAGAAGAGGTTGGAGGGATGAGGGAGATGGTGTCCTAGAAACCAGAGAAGCAGGCAGGGAGAGGAGCAGGGGATCATGAGTGTGACAGGCTGCGGAGTGAGTCAGAGCGAGGGCTGGTGGCTCCCGAGCACCCAGCGGGGAGCAGCGGTGGAGACAGAGGTCACACTGCAGCGCAAAGGAGGAGCAAGGCTAGGAGCACAGGACAGCAAGTGTGTGCTGCTCCCTTACGGGCTCGACTGTGAAGGAAAAATAAATGGAGGAATACGGGGTCCAGAGGGTCCCCAGGGCCACGACACCCAGCACAGTGCCTGGCCCGTAAAAGGCACTCAAATATGTTTTTCTTCAATAATGAATTGCTGAATAGCTGAGTAATGAGTCGGTGGAGGCTTCTTGTGTTTTGGAGCACTTAATTTTTCATTTATCTTCACAAGAGATGGCACAGAGGATTAACCAGAAAAGGGAGAAGTGTGCAGCTTGCAAGATAGCTCAATTTCATATAGTGGGCATCAGGGACCATGGGGGGGGGCGAGTGCCAGCAAGGGAAGGTGGCTTGCAGGTGGGAGAGCTGATAAGAAAGTTTACGTATGGGTATAGACGGCATCATCGTTGTCGTTGTGTTCATCATCATCATCACCATCATCATCATCGGGTAATATAATAAGTGGCCAGTCAGCGGTGGTGAGGGCCACCGTTGTAGTGCAGTGATCATTGGGTTCTAATTTCATGGTGGAATCTGATTGTAATTAGATGCAATATTGATTTTTCAGGGCAAGTGTATGTTATAGTGTGTGTCTAGATGAAACCTCAAAGCCTCATGCAGTCATAGGTGGGGCTTTTCAGAGGTGGTTGGATCTAGAGCGTGTGATGCTGGGATCAAGGAAGTGACACTGGAATTGATTCACACTGCCATGCTAGGATTAAGGGTACCCTACCCTGGGCTTGAGTGGGTGGGTATCCTGGATAGGATATAAGGGACAGAAAGAGGGCTGCTGCTGCCATTTACTGCTTGCTGGTTTTTTGCCTTCTGCCTGCCATGGACTGTTCCTCCTCTTCAATGCCCCTCTGCCATGCCACCTTGCCTTGGAGCCAGTTGATTATGGACTGAAACCTCTACAAACTGTGCGTTGAAATAAACCTTTCCTTCTTTAACTTTGGGTGTCAGGTATTTTGCTTCAGGGAAAAAAAAATTAACTGAAACAGTGTAAAATCCACCTAAGTGGCCTTTTAATCTTAAAACTGACTGAAATAACACACAGTCTCTCAAGGCAAGATATCTCTCTACCACCCCAAATTACACAATATATCAAGGAAGCAAAGGAACATTTGGAGTGTCATCAATTTAAAGGTTTGTTAGTAGGAAATATTTAGACCAAAACCAGGCAACCTTGGCTGCGTTTGTAGAAATGGACCTGCATTTGGACAGTTTTTGCAGCAAAGCCAGAAAAATCTGATCCCCTCCACAGAGATGCTGGGAGAGTTAGGAGGAAAAGCCCTTTCTGATTCTCAATGGTAAACTGTTATTATTGGGACCTTGTGGCTACAAGGCCTTTGTGGGTGCCTATGGACTTCTAGAGCTTACACTGCTGGTTTGTTTCTAGATTTCCTTCTCTGCTCGGGCTTGTGCTCTTATTAAATGATGTATTATGTGCTGAGTGGCTGGCAAGCACCTGGGGATGGATCGGTTTGTGGTGAGTGGTGACTGCTAAGGCCTTCTCCCTTCCTCCCTCCCTCCCTCCCTGCGTTTCCTTCTCTTCCTGCCCCCACCCTGGGGTGGGGGCGAGCCCAGGGACAGTCCTCCTTGGCCAGTTACTTCCAGAAATAGTGACTCCTGAGCCTGATTTACAGCTTTCAGTTCTGCGCAAGCCACAACCACCAGAGGACCTAAATGTGGAACTGATAGGGCTCAGGAGGCTGTGAAGTAACCAACCGAATTAGCAAGATTCCCACTGCCCACTCTGCAAAGTCCTACAAGGTAACTAATACTTGCAGTCTACTCAGCTGTCTTCCCCATTCAGTTCTCTAAGTCGGGCCTCTTAAACATGACCTTTGAGGCTGGCCCGGCAGGCAGAAACCCAGGATGGGGCCATGGTGAGAGGGGCAGATGGGCTTTGCAGGAAAGGGCTGGTGACGGAAAAGTGATTCCAGATCTGCCAGGAACGAGCCGGCAAGTCCCACGCCCTTCGGTGCCAGGTCCCTGTGTCAGGTCCGATCCCCGACCTACCCCGGGGCGGCCCCAGCGCGAGTACGCGCCACCCCCACCCTCACCGGGCTCCGGGTCCCCGGAACCCCGACCTCGCAGCTCGGCCGCTGAAGCCGCTCCCCTGGCTAAGCCCGCGGGCTGGCTGCACCGTCGCTCCCGAGCCTAGGCCGGGTAGGAACGGCCGGCAGGTTCCGCGCGCCGAGGGCGCCCCAGCCCGGCCGTGCCTGTCGCCCGCTGGTGCAGAGTCGTCCGTAGGCGGCTCCTTCCTGTGCAAAGTTTTCTGTCCTCTTCCTCCTCCCGCCCTCCGCGCGTCCAGCCTCGCGCGCTCCTGCCTCCTCCTCGGGGTCGCCGCGCTCTCCGGCAGCGCAGCCCTGCGCGCCTCCCGGCCGAGCCCGCAGCCAATGGCCGAGGCAGGCAGGCTTCCCGCGGAGCCCGAAGGCGAGGCAGGCAGGCTTCCCGCGGAGCCCGAAGGCGAGGCGGCGGCGGCTCCGGCTCCCGAGCCCGAGGCGCCCGCCCAGCCCCCGGCGCCCGCCCTGCGCTGGCTGCCGGCGGACCTGAGTCCCCGCGGCCGCTCGCAGAGCGACCTCTCGGCGTGCTCGAGCAGGGCCCGCCCGCTGCGGCTCCACATCTCCGGCTCAGGTAGGGGCGGCGGGGCGCGGCTAGCCGGGCCGCAGACTGCGGTGGGGGCTCCGGGGACGCGGAGCGGTCGCCACCTCCGCCGAGGGCTCGGGTACCAGGAGCAGGACGCCCACGTGGGGGCGCGGGGCGCACGGCGCTCCCCCCAGCTGCGCAGCTGCGACCTGTGCGCCAGGAAGAGGAACCTTCTCGGTCTTCAGCGCGACTTGGGTCGCTCGGAAGGGTGCGGCCCCCTGGCTGCTTGGGCGAGGGTTGGTGCCAGCTTCCGCTTCTGGCTTCCAGAGCTCTTCAGGGGTTGCTGGGACAAGAACCCGGGACCCGAGCTTTCCTTCCCTCAGAGCCCGTGCAGGTGGTGGTGAGAGTTTGGTGGGCGGGTCTGTGCGCCTCATCCTTCCCTGTGGTGCGGGGAAGCCTGGAGCCAGCACCGCTGCTGTAGCGCACACAGCTGCTGTAGCGCCCGCCCTTTGCGCTGTGTCCTCCGAGGCTGCTCTGTGCACCAGGCCCGGCAGAACCAGCAACTGGGCCGGAGGCCCGGTGCTGCGCTGGCTGAGTGTGGCATGTTGGGCAAATAACCTCGTCCCCCATAGCCTAGTACTTAGGGGGGACGATGGTGTGTGTGGAGGTGTGAAGTGTGTAGCATGTGAAGCACAGGGTTTCCATTTATAAAGTTCTTTTACTTCCAAGGATTCTGTGTCTTCTATGTCTTCTTCCTCTCTCTGCCCCCCCCCCCCGTATTGTTTCTTAAGGCAGGATCTTGTTATGTAGCCCATGCTGGCCTCACACTCAGAGCAATCCTCCTGCCTCAGCCTCCTAGCTGGGATCATAGGTGTGCACCACCACACCCGGCCTCTCTGCCCTCTCAAAGGATGCTGGGAAGTGCCCACTTTCGGCTCCCTGAATGCCGACACACAGGTAGGAGAGGCTTTCACACCTTGCGAGAGCCTTCCACGCCCTCTGCACAAGCTGGGCACACGCAGAGGCAGAATCCAGAGCAGGTCCGATACGGCTTTGCCAGAGCCAGGCCTGTACCTGCGTGGCCTCATCTCCGAGTCTCGGCCCCTCCCAGCCCTGCTTACCCCAGATCTGCTCGGCCCCTCCCAGCCCTGCTTACCCCAGATCTGCATGGTGATAAGAGCTTCGCTTTTAGGCACCTGAAAGTCTGAGAAGCTTTTCTTTCTGACACTGGGTTTCCAGCTTGGCCGTACACAGGACTCACATGGAGATTAAGAAACAACCATAAAACAATTTGCGGCCGGGCCCCACGCCCTGGGGATTCCGATTTAGCCAGCGTCAAGTGCAGCCTGGGCAGTAGGGGATTCTAGGCTGCAGGGACGCTGGAGCACCACTGCCTCGAGCCGAGCCCGGGCAATGATGATGTGGGCACGAGGGTCTGCCAGGCCGGGCTGAGCCTGCACCTGCTTGACCCCTTCTTCCAGCCCTAGTGGTGCTCTCTCGACCACTGAAAGCTCCCAAACATCTTTCCTCACTCCCACTCTTGATTCCAATAGTTCTTCTTGAGGGATCTTTCCTAATATTGAGTTAACTCCCTGATGAGAGTCCTTGGGAAGGCATTGAGGAGGAAGGGAAACCACCTTCTGCAGTGCCACATTACAGCTGTGTCCTGGGAGACAGGACAGCAAGGGGGAGGAAGGATTTTCTCCAGCAGTTGTCAGCGGATGCCTCACTCCAAGTCAAGGTAATTGATAATTTGCTGCTACCCCCAGCCGTCACCCCACTCCCACCCCAGCTGCTCTTCTTCCTCCTCTCAACGAAACAATAAAAAAAACTTTAAATCCAGCCTCTGACATTTTGCTGACTGCTGCAATTCAAGTCAGTCCAATACCAGCAGTTTTTTAAAAGACCTGCTCAGGCCTGGTGCCTCGCCGTGGCTTCGGGGATCTCCCAAGAGAATTCACTTCCCGTGGCCTTGCACCTAGATTATTACTAGATTTTTGTCAAGAGGCACATCTCAGACTTCGAGCTTTTATTTCCCTTGTGGTTTGAAGAGTTAATTTTTCACATCAAAATGCATGTGCTTTATCAGCACAAACTAGAGTAAAATTGTACAAAATTGTGAAGGAACCCAGTATTTTCAAGTAAATACTTTTTCAAAACACACTTGAAATAATAATGGAACTAATGAGCAAGTCCCTTTTGTGCTTATAAAAAATGGGGATTGCTTTTGCATTATAGAAGCTCAGAGTGACTTTGACTTATACTTTTGGAACTCACAGTTCTGAAATTTTATAAAAGATCTGGAGTTTTAAAGTCTGGTGTTTCTTTATGAATGAGATGATGTTTTACTCCGTTTAAAAAAGTAAAGTCTGCACACGAGAGTTTCATTGTACATGGACAGGGCTTCTCTTGATTTCTAGACCAGTCTTGCTCTGCCTAGCGGTTTGGATGTAGTTAGCTCTTTCCGACTTGCTTTTCTGGTTAGCCCAGGGTTCAGTAAGCAGTAATCTCAGGGGCAGCCCAGGCCATGATCCTCCTAGAGGGACAGCAAGTCCTGACTGTGGGCCTACTGTTTGCCAGGAGCTGTTTTGGACCCACACACGCTGACGGGAGGACTGAGAGGTGTTCACCCGCTCCCAGTGCTGACTCAGCTTTTCATGTTACACTCTGGGCTACACGGAACAGGAAATCATTTGAGCTTCCTGCAAAAATGAGTGATATAGCCACATGGAGCGCTGGCCAGTTTAGTGTGCTGGCACTGATTGCTCTAACTTGTACCCCTACACCACTATGTGTCTGTGAATCTAGGTAACGATAAACCAGGATCTTTCTCTTGAGCCATTAATTCCCGGTGTGCTTAGCACTGAGTGAAGTAAGAAGTCTCGCGAACCTGGGTGTTCTGTCTGTCCATGCTCCCTGCTTCCAGATCACAGCCACAAGGTGCTATCATCCAAAGCCACTTCTGCAGTTGAGGGTCACCTGTCCTATGCGGGGAGGCCTTGATGGTCTCTCACTGACCTCGAAGGTTGTAACTCTTCAAATTGATGCTTTGTTCTCCAGAGGACAGCACTGTGGCAGGATGGCTGAGTTCCATGGGGTTTCTGGCCCTGACCACAAGGTGGGCTGGAGGTGCCCTAGGCCAGAAACAGTGGCCACCTGCTCACTTTACACTTGTGTGATTCAGGCTGGGTTTTTGCCAGAGACCATCTGGCTCCAAGCTTACTTTCTGTCTCTGCTGGTCACCGAGCAGCAAGGCCACCCTGCTGAGAGTTGGGGCCAGTACGAACAGGGACAGTGCAGAAAGAGGCCTGTGGAGCCCGTGCTGGAGGACTTGGATCCGGCTCTGCTCTGCCCTTGCCAAACTGTGCACCTGCAGGGACATCTGTGCCCTCTGCCTCTCCAAGGAGGGTGGGTGTCTTTTTCGCGTACAAAGGCCAAGGGCTTCTCACCCAGCCGGAAGGGTCAGCTGTCTGATTCTCCAGAGGGACCTTGTACGCTGAAGGTGCTCCCCAACCACACCCTGGCACGTTTTAAAAATCAGCTTCACCCGAAAGGTAGGCTGTCTCTCTTAAGTTTGTATGCATCTAACCTGGAGCTGAAATGAGAAAGTTGTCAGGATCTGAGGCAACCAGTTCCTCTTTCTCTCGAGCTTTCTTAGAGTTCTCGCGGCCTCAGCTGACACTAGACTTCTGTTTGCCTCTCTGCTGTCTCTCTGCTACCTCTGTAACCTGGAAGTCTCACCCTGCCCGTGCTTCCCTGCCCGTCTACTTGCCAACAGCACATCGTGGATTCTCCTGGCCAACAGCAACCTGACTTGTGTTCCGTTAGCTCTTGCCCCTGTGTCTCCCCTGGGGAATTTCTTTATTTTCTTGGTTTGAATCCTCCAGAAAGGACCTACTGTGGGAACCCATCTTGCTACAGCAGGCCATGGACCACAGGTCACAGAGAAGCCTGCAGTATGGCTGCTCTTGGTCAGGTTCCCATCCAACCTGAGCTGGCTTTGGAGGGTCAGGTCCCAAAGGACTGAGCCTGGACAATTTCCATCCACTTATTCATTCATTTCTTCAGTTACTATTTATTGAGGGTGCTGGGTTCCTGATACTGTTCTAGGCACTGGGCATATGGAAGTGAGTAGATGTGGTTCTGTGATTCAGGGACTGAATGGAAAGCAGAGAGGAAGACCATTTAGAAAGATGTGGCAGCAGTGTCTCTAGTGGTATAAACTGTGCCATTCAGTAAGGGCAATAAGGGACATGGCAGTGCCATTACTGATGCTTTTGTGTTCTGAGCAGCAGGAGCAGCTGGGCAGCTTACACTAGGTAGCTCTGGTTTGTGCAGTACTTCAGTTCAAGCTGAAAGTAGCAGAAAGCTGTGGATTTGCCCCGGGCCCCAGATACTGCAGAGGGCACTCTGTCAAGGGAGCTTGTCTTGTTGTTCCTGCATTTAACCCACAAACAGCTAATAGGCTAAATATGGAAGCCACAGATGTCCCCAAGGAACGCCTAGTCCTGTGAGGAAAGAGAGCAACAAGCCAACAACCACAGAGCAACAAGTATGAGCTCTAATTAGTGTCCTGCGCTCTCCTGGGGGAGAAGCTAGGAGGCTCAGCTGTAGAAATGGCCTGGTCAGGGTAGGCATAACACGTGGTACCTGGGCCCTCTCCCTGAGCATGGAGGAAGTGGAAGATAGAGATGGGGGTGGGGGAAGAGTGTCTGGGGAGAGGAAACAATACCCACAACAGTGCTAAGGCCCCAAGCCTATGACAGGAGGGCCTGGGATATACAAGGTGCTCACCAGATACTTAGGGAATTCATGCCTGAACTACCTGGAAGCCAGTTCTTTCGACATCAAATATGTATAATTCAAAAGCTAGCAGGATGTGATTTTATCTTTATGTATACGAGCAGGTGAAAACTTGATTTCCAAGTGGTTTAAAATTTTAAAATAACTAGGCAGAGTATTTCAGTTTTGCTTTTCAAAGAGCCACCCATGAGCTCACTGGAGCCTCTGAGGGGAAGTGCACAAGCCTCATTGTGCATTGTAGGAGA